CAAGTTCTTCCAGAGAAGTCAAGCACTCTCTGTCTCAACACAAGCCCGGCGCAATTCCTTTTGCGCCCGGCTTAATTCCTTTTGCGCCCGGCTTAATTCCTTTTGCGCCCGGCTTAATTCCTGGCAGAGATGAAATACTCTGTTTTTGTCACGCCCAGCGCAGGTTATATTGAGCCCGGCGCAGAGCCTCTTCTCTGCTCCTTAGCTTCTTAGGTTTCCAATCCTAAGAGTCTTCAACTTTCCACTCTTCCTCAATACCTGCACAAAAAATGAGGTGGATTAAGGTATTGTTAGATGAATTTGGGTTAGTTATATCTGCACACAAAATGAACCAAAAAGAGAACAATTATATTGCAATGGTTCAAAGGATGAGTGGAATTTGTTCAATAAGCCTCATCCAAAAAGAGGTAAAATTGAGACTTAACAAACATCATTTATAGATTAGAAGGTTGTTGAAAAAATCATGGTTTTAGTGCCTGAAAGATTTGAAGCCAAGATTTTTGCAATTGAAAAGTCTTGTGATTTGCAAACTCTCACAATTGACTAACAAGCTTCACTTATAAGAGCAAAGAGTCTCAATTAGAAGTTTTGAAGCTGTTGAAGGTGCCTTTTGAGCAAAGTACAATGGAAGGAATTTTGGAAAGTCACGAACTTCCAATAACGATAAAGGAAAAGTTGAAGGTTCTTCTCATTGCCAAAGAACCAATTATGCCGAAGAAGATTGTTGGTTTAAAGATAAACCTCTTTTCATTTTAATTTTTGAAAAATAAAAATAATCACAATAAAAAGTATTGTAGATTAAAGAAGAACTAGGAAAACTAGAAAAATATGCAAATGTGATTGAAGAAAAAAAATAATGATAAAGATGAGTATTTATTTATGTCATCTCAAGAACTCAATTCACATGAATTGAATACTTAATTCATTGATAGTGGTTGCACTAATCACATAATTAAATGTTTATCATTTTTTTACCTTTATTGACAAATCAATTGAAACGAAAGTCAATATGGAAAATGGTGAAATTGTGCAAGTCAATAGAAAAGGAAAAATTTCTATATCAACCATGATGGAATCATGCTTAGGATGGAAAGAGGTGACACATTGAAGGATCTAAGATAAATGGGCTAGACATGAAGATTTAGGCTAGCCAAAGCCTAAAGGGCTCGGTGGGCTTGGAAGGCCCAAGCTGCTACTCACATGGGCCATACCCTGAGATATCCATTTTCTTCTATTTTGTATATGTTATATTAGTATAGATTTTATATATTTTGGTCTTGTATTTTGGACCACATAGATTAACATTTTTTGGGCCATAGGCTTATTGGGTCTGTTTTTTGGCTTTATGGGCCTTTAGACTTTTGGTACCCAATATTGGGCTCACTTTGTTTCTTTTATTATTTCCTATTATTTGTATATGTTTGGCCATTGTATTTAGGCCCTTAGAGTAGGAATATTGGAGGAATACTTAATTAGGAAAAACTAGCATAAATTAGGTTTCATTTAGCATGCATTTAAGTTGAATTTGAGTCACATGTTTTAGCCAAGGGTGGCTGCACATGTGCACACTCGAATGCATCTTAAATTCACTCCAAATGAAGCTTAATTAGCCATGATTCACGTCCAGCACATGGCAGCCCAAAGAATTTGAATAAAATTCAAATTCTTGGCGCCAAAGTTCAAATTTGAACTTGGCGCCACTTTGGCTTGGTTGGTTGCCTATTTAAGTCTCTTCCTTCACATTTGTATTACTTTGAACCTTTATGAGATTTCTGAACATTCACTTCAGCCAAATCTCTCTCAAAGTCACCCAAAGCTCCTTGCTTAGTTCTAGGAATTCCTTCACTTTCTTGGGAAATCCGTGAGCAATCCTTTGCTCACCTAAGCTTGAGTGCTTCCTTCCTTGATTTGGATCAATCCAAATCCGAATTCTTCTTCATCTTCTCTTCCGGAATTACAATCAAGGACGAAGATCTTGTGAGGAGCAAGGCTAGGAAGAATCATCAATTCATCTTTCCTACCTAGTTCCATCAAACCAAGAAAGGTATGATAATTGTTAAAGATTCTTTACATTTCGAAATTGGATCAAAATCTTCTTAGTGTTCCTCAAATATTAAGGAATGCATATGGAGTCTCTTTTAAAGAGAATTATTGCTTTATGATGGATGAACATGGTTTAGAGATTGCAAAGATTTAGATGATAAAAAAAAATTTATTTGAAATTTGATTTAAATGAAAATCATGATTTTATTATTAAAATTGATGAGAGTAATGTTTTGCATGGAAGATTTGGTCACACTTTTATGCAAGATGTATTTGATATAACAAATCCTAACAAGTGATATTTAAAGACAGGAGGAAGAATTGAATTGAATGACTATAATAATCATTTAAGTCAAGAAATTGATGTCCAACAACTTGCTGACAGAGCACTTCAAAAATTAAGTTTTGGAATTCATGAAACTAAAGTTAAAGATGTTCATAGCAAATCTCAAGGAGGAATGTTAGATTTGTGAGATTTTCCTTTATTTAAATTTTGGATGAATGAATTTTAAACAAGATATTTGTTATTCTTACTATTTTATCTTTTATATTTTGATTTCAATTATTTAATATAATCTCAACAATAAATTTGTTAGTATATGAGATTTATTAGAAATTTTAAATTGATTGTAAACTTATACATAGTCATAATCTTCTATGAATTTTATGATAATTTTTCATCTTCAATTTTGATTTCAATTTATTTGTGAGATCCAATTTTTCTACATTTTTCACAAAATATTTCCAACAGTACCATTTTCTCTTATTCTTCATGGCATTTGGCATATTTTAATTTCAAGAAACATTTTTTGAATTATGTTAAGAATAGTGATATCATTTCATAAACTGCATGATTCAATTTGTTTAAAGATCCACACACTCCTTCCAAATAGCTTTCTAAACCTTCTCAAAATACTACAGAAAAAATTAGACAAGGAAGCGGCACAAACATGAAAGGATAGGGGAAAAAAAGAGAGAATTATGCTCACTGAAGAGTAGTCTTGAGAGCTAGGAGATCAAGGTCATGGTGAGCATCAGTGTTCCTAAACTTTGAAGTAATGAACACTTTATCACAATTCTTTTTAATTATGGCCTAGCTTTATGGCCTTTAATACATCTAGAACTATAGGCTCTTCAGTATCATAGATGATAGTAGCCTCAAAGTGTAGCCTTTGTCAATGGCTTCAACCAAAATTGAGGTGAGGGCTTCGTGTGGTGGAAGAGGTTTTGTTGCAGAATCATAGACCTATCAAGAGCATCCTCTCTCTTTTTTTTTTTTTTTTTCTCTCCTGAATTTAGTACCAACTATGGGACTTTATTTGCTTCCATGCTCTCTCGTGTTTGGTCAATGTTCAAGCTCCCCTCAATTCACAATTGTCTCGTGTGTTAACTTTGAGATTTTAGTTGTGGCTTTATTGCGTACATGCGTTAGGTTGTATAAAGGAAAGTCAAGATCCAAGCAAGTTATTATTACTGTATTCTTGACTGTTTTGTTATGTCCTCTAATGACCAAAGCAAGCTTGAGAGTATATGTTTCTCAGAAGGGGTTTTTGGATGGCTAAGTTTCAAACAAAATCAGTCCATTTATAAAATATGGTCACGTAAATATTCTAAGTTCTCAAGAACGTATATTTATGTAATTAGCAGAGGGAAAATATTTATAGAAATATTGTGCATTAAACTTATTTCAAAATGTCCCAAGTAATTAACTAAGCAAAATCCATAAACACTTGCATAGAATGTTAAAGCAGTATGGTGGTGATTGTGGTACAATGGTGGCAAGTGGTGATAGCAACATTTCTTGCTGCTTTAAGTGGAAAGGATGGAAGGGCAAGTAAAGTAACCAGAGGCATGCATTGATGATATAGATATTTTATATTTCCTTTGAATGGAAGAGGCACCAGAGTCTCACTCCTTTGATAAAGTTGTCACACTCATTCAACTTAAGGTCTCAAATAAGGGAACTGAGGTTAGCTAGGTCCTCATATGAAGATATAGCCAGCCATAATTAAAATAGTAGTACAAGACATGTCAATAGTATGGAATTCACATCTTGTTTATTCTCATAATTTATATTCTAAAATATAGTTAGACCCTAGAAGAAACATTCAAACGTCTCCATCCCAAAGTTCTTCCAAGGTCTTGCAAGAACCATTTTCAGATAGCCACATGTCCCCTGTGTATTGCCTACGCTGTGGAATTTGACTAATCCTCTCTAAATCCTCTTCACTCAGCTCAAAATCAAATATGTCCAGGTTCTGCTTCATCCTCTCCTTGTTGGTGCTTTTAGCCATGGCACTTGACCCTTGTTGGTACACCCATCTAAGTGCAACCTGAAATGACAGTGTCACCATGTATTAATAGAGCAACACTTTTGTTAATTCAAATGTTTTAATAAGTCTCACTTTTTATTTAAAGTGTCTTTTTTGGTATAGAGAAGTTTAGGTGAGTTGGTAGAAAATTTTATGATGGTGTAATATTTAATAAATTTTAATCATTAGTAAAAAGAATGTTAGTAGAAAAGAGTGATAGAACTTTTTTTTCATGATAGCTTAAACAAATACTTAATACTCTATACAATAAGTTAATACTCTCTTATGTCCTTTTTATAATACTCAAATCAAGAGTATTATTTGGTCCTTTTTATAAGAATCAACTTAAAATGTCTTTTACATTAATTATTTTTTCACAAGAAATATTCTTAATTAATTTTACTTCTCTTAATTCAAGTAGTTAGTAGTGTAAGGATTTCAGTAATATTGGGATTAATTTTAGAAGAAAAAAAAACATATAAACTTAGGAAAAATTTAATATTATTAACTAAATGATCAAATTTCCTAATTGTAATGAGCTAGTTAATTGAGTCTCCTAAAAAGTAAATGGTATACTCCTTTTTATTGTAAGTGTTTGGTTGCTTTTAAGACATTAGCAGCAGTGGCTTCTCTTTCTTCTTAATTCTTTTTCTCAGAATATATGAATTATTAAAATCACAGTTGATAAATAAGTTGTTCCATTCTTTTGCTGAAAATTTACCTGAGCTATGGTCTTCCCTTTTGCTGTTGCTATGTCCTGGAGGATTGGATTCTCCATGACAGCTCCTGAACCCCAAAATATCTTATAAGCACCAAGGGCTGACCAAGCACTTACATGAATTCCTTTCTGCTTGCAGAACTCCCTGAGTTTCCCTTGCTGCCATGATGGGTTCATTTCCACCTGAACAAAACACAATAAAAAAAAAAAAGCCATAATTCAACATCATAACATGATTACCAAGAAGTCCAAGCCCATCATGAAAATGATAACTAAACCAAACCAAATATATATCTCTCGAGTTATCTCATCATGGTACCTGAATGACTGCAGGAGGAATTGTGGCTATTTCCAAGAGTTTGGTGAGTTTCTTGGTACCATAATTGCATATGCCAATAGACTTTGCTAACCCCAACTTGTAACACTCTTCCATAGCTTTCCATGTCCCTTCTACATCAAAGGGCAGCAAATCTTCCTTGGAGAAAACTGTTGGATTTTCAAGATCATGTCTCAGCCTCACTGGCCAGTGAATCAGATAAAGATCCACATACTCCACTCCCAGCTTTCTAAACAACATTGTGCAGCACATAAAGTACTTAAGCAACATTAATACTCACAGAAAAAAGATAATAAAAAAATATAGAAAGATAATGCTAAGATATCATTAAGTGAAAAACTACTGGAATTTCAGTCTAGTGGGAAAGAATTAAGTGAAGAAGGGGATTGTTGATGCTTACTTTAATGTGGTCTTGAGAGCTGGGACAATAAGATCAGGGTGTGCATCAGTGTTCCATGGCTTCGAAGTGATGAAAAGTTCATCTCTACTCTTAATGAGGCCTTTGTCTATGGCTTTGGCCACTGCTAGGCCTATGGCTTCCTCTGTCCCATACACTGCAGCAGTGTCAAAGTGACGGTAACCCACCTCAATGGCATCAACATAGATAGAAGCAAGGGTCTCATTTGATGGACGATTCTCCACTGAAGTTCCCATTCCTATAACTGGCATTTTGTGTCCTGAATTCAGCAACACATCTGGGATTTTCTTTCCTGCCATATCTTCTTACTTTCTTTCTCCTTCTTTCTACCTTTGAAACAAAATGCGTCTGGGAATTGGAACTACTATCTCTTTAAAGCTCCATATTTTAATATTTTTTACATGTATCTTCATCATTTCTTCTTTTGGAGACATTCTTATTAAAATCATGTTCGATAAAAATATATAAATCATTTTTTGACAAAATTCAAATCTTAATTCGCCACATTTTAAATACGGTCTCTTTTACTAGACCCAATTCCTATTAGTTTAAAAAATTCAAATATCTTATTATTGTGTTATATAGAAAGACAACATTATTTATAAGATTTAATTTAATTTTTTTTACACTATTAATCATCTAATAATGTAATATTATGCATACAAAATTGTTAAATTTTATATTAATTACTTTTAAAGCATAATTATGGTGATTTCTAATTGTTTGATAAAGTTAAAATATTTATACAATAATGCATGAAAATTAAATTTTCGACCTGAATTGCAATCAAATACTAACAGTATTGAATGATTTTTATATAATAAGTATTTTGTTAATAATTTTTTATTTTTAACTTTATATAATGTATTTGTGAGTATATTTATAAAAGAGAGATAAAACAAAATGATGTATGAATTATTGTACGTAATGACATAATAATGTTTTTCTAAATGTAAGGGAAGGTACTAACAATGCAAGGGAAAGTGACAATAAAAAGAGGGTGCTTGTGGTTTGCCCACTGATTGGGATATTTTGTTCGATATTCTAGGCCCACATTTTAGGCTATGTTGGATTGCATGTGACTCGAAAGTCACTATTCATAATGCTAATACTTCATCAAAAATAGAAGTCACTATTGATATAAGACAATTATTGTAATGCTAAATTATGAGGCACCACTCTTGTACTGCCACGACTCTTAGTTTTGTGAATGATAAATGGTGCCACCATATAAAGATATCTTGTCATGTATGCAATATCAATCAATTTTTCTTATAATAAAAGTAGTCCACTCATTTTAAAAATATAAAAACTAATATTTTTAAATGTGATTTGCAGAAATCAAACTCCAGTCTAAATTAACAACCATAACCGACAAACTACTCATTTGATATAATTAATAATATTATTATTATCTATAAAAAATTATAAAAATAACTATGAATATCAAATTTAATTTTTAACACATCTATCTTAACTCCTTCTCTTTAACGGCTAAAGTTAATATCAATCAATATTTTATATATATATATATATATATATATATAT